GGCTTTATATGTTTCCCATTTTGAAAGTTTGGCGGTTTCTTAAGGACTTTGGGATCATGATGGGGAGATGTTCCCTTTTCTGGCCACAGCTGTTACCGGCGTTGTTTGCCTTCATGCCAAACAGACACTTGGCCACCTGAAAGTGTTCAGATGTTTTCAGTTGTTTCTAATGTATCGGTTCATTAAAAACAACATCTATAAAACCTGAGATCAGTGATAGGAATATACTTTACTCTAATTAACCAGTTGTGAGTTCTACAGTGCAGGTTCAAAAATTAGAAATCAATAGCTGACTGACGGCAAAGGTCAAAACGCTCCAGGTCGGGCCACACTCCAGCTCACCAAATTCCCTCCAAACAGATCTGGCTCATTCACTAGGATACCCAGGAAACACAAAGCATGACCTAACAACTGAACTTTTACTTTCTTCATCAACTTATCCCCATTCAGATATTACCTTTTTGTTTCAGTCGCCCCTTCCTTTTAGGTTGTAAGTTATCACGAGTAGGGCCCTCCTAACACTCTTGTCTTGATTTTGTAGTGTAACTGTAATGAATCCCTTTATATATTGTTAAGCTCTGCAAAAACTGTTGGCACTATATAAATCCTGTATAATAAGTCTAATCACGGCAGACCAATGAAATTGAAGTGTCTTTTTTATTCCAAACTAGCAGACACCACATAACCTCTATGATGAAGAGCTCTGTGAAATGAATGCGTTTCTGTACTTTTTTTTGGTTTGCAATAAAGAAGAAACTTCAAACTTAACGTGAACTGAAAAAGTGAAGATTTGCTATCCTATAGGGAACATCTAGAAATGTTAACTGTGCCTAAGCAGTAGACATGTGCACCAGCAAAACAAATGTTTCGTTTTGATTCGGATTTTGCGTTATTTCGTTTTTCGGGGTTCGGGTCCGAAAATCAATTTGTTTCGGAATTTTGATTCGGACGAAATGAGTTAGCGGTAGTCTGTACGAATGTTCGTTTCGTTTGTTCGGTCGTTCGTTGCATCAAAGTGACATTTGAGGGACACATTTTAATTTTTTTCTCAAATGTCATTTTGCTGCCATGAAATTTCGTCCAACAAACAAAATTTCGTACAGACTACCGCTAACGAATTTTGGAATCGGAAATTCGGATTAGTTTGCATTTGTTATAGCTGTAGTTCGGATACATCCAAATGTCTGAAATTTCGTTTCGGAACGAATCGCACATGTCTACTAAGCAGTACCCTGTAAATGTTCTTCTTTGTCTTGAATTTCTCCTGAAAAATAGTAGTGGACTTCCTGGTATGGTGCATAGGTGTTCCGGTTCTTACTGCCTCATTGCTTTTATCCACTACTGGTATCCTTGCCGGAGAGGAATCTGTACCTGAGGATCTGCACTGCATGCATCTCCCTGATCCTGCTTTATTCAATCCTTGGATCTTTGCTTTTTATTTTTAGTTGCCCCAGGTTTGTTTTTCCTTGCTTTTGTTCTTGCTTTTTTTTTCCTTTTATGAGCCCGTGTGTGTTCACGATGTACAGGAACAAATTTTGATTTGCATCCTCCCTATTCATTTTATCCTTTTGAGCTCTCTCCTTGACAGAATACTAACCAACGGAAATCGTCAGGTCAGTAGGGACCGCTTTAATTACTGCATGCCAGAGCCTGCCAAGTCAGACACTGGACAATAATATCCAGAGGCACAAGATCACTTACTTTGTTGGTAGCACGAGCACTGTTTTCACTTCGATTAGAGAATGCATGTTATATGCATTTGGAAATGAAGTACTTATTGTTAGTATAACTGATGCACATAAGAATAGTAAATAACCACACCTCTCTCCAAGAATAAATCCACCCAAAAGTGATATTTTAGCTTTAGTTGCTGGAAAGTTACATCTCATAGGAGTTTCTTGTGTCTCATGGGGACCAATAGTAGTAAGAGCAATGAACTTAATTTTCTAGATCTGCCCTCCTACTGGGGCAGTTGAAAAGGTCTCAGTCTTTTGTTAAACATTTTAGGTGTAATGCAGAAACTAACAAAGTGTGAGACATTAAAATGGGCAAAACCACAGGAGGAAAGTGTTGAGGGGAAATCCCCAATGGGAGTCACCAAGAGCCATCAGAAACCATTGATTCCAACTACCAGATTTCCACCAATAGCTGAAATCTAACTTTTGGGTACCCATTAGTTTGTGCATGGTAACCAATGGTTTTTCTGTCCACTAACTGTTTAAATTTGCTTCTTGTGAAAGTGATTTTTTTAAAATGTTTAATCTTGTTTTTATGTGTCAAAAAAAGTGGTGGCTTATATGCAGATGAATGTTAAAGTGACCATGTCATGACAGAAATACAGGAGCCTCCACTGCCCAGACAAATGTGATGCTGTAAAGAAAAGCAGACAAGTAATTACATATAATATATACATCTATGTTTACTGTTATATGTATGTAGCTGTTAGGCCTTTAACACAAGGACCAACAGATGGTGCAAGTTTAAAGTTTCCTTGTTGCCATGAATCAATTGTGGACAGATGTATACCTAAAATAAAACCTTCCATTTACCAACTAGGATGAGAAATCCACCACATGCTTGAAGGTATGAAGAAGCAGCTATCAAACCACCCTCCAGGATCTGCTGTCACTTAAAGATGTGGTAGGCAGTGTGTGGGGCTGTCCGATGATATTCTTGAGTGGAGCTAGTGATGGACAAGTTGGTGCGTTATGCACCAGCACATCCGTTTGTAGTTCTCAGTGGAGCCATGCAAGGGTGTCATCACGCAGGGTGACTACGCTGCTGGACTATACAGTGCAAGTAGAGGCAGCATTGTCCCCCGATTAACAAAAAAAGAAGTGGCATAAAGTTATAGATTAAGAGAAAAGGTGAGACATCATTATTTTCAGTATGAGGGTTTGGATTCACTTGATCATTATATTGTAGAAGGAAAAAGTCCCAATGCAACAGGCTAGTATGTAAAAGGACTGGTTCGTGAATTGCAAGAAATTCTCCAGGCGCTACACGTAAAGGGAAAGTGCTTTTGCAATGATGGAGGTAGACTAAGCCCGTATTTGACCATACTCCCATGTGAGTGGCACAATCTTTGTCTTTTTGTGAAGTCTACCTCCCCTTCTCTGTGTTAGCAGACAATGCAACAACTGCACACAGACCGGTGTGTTGATTTAGGGGTTTCTCCATCTACAGGTTAGTATTGAAGCACGGAGCTTGCAGTACACGAAGGCCATATTTAGAAAAGGATAATTGTACAGGAAGGTGCACTTGTCCTTTAAATTATAATTAAAGAACATTTAAAGTTCAAGCAAAAGTAATTACAAGTTCAGATTAAATGAATATTATGGATGAAGAGTAGATATAGCATAAAGATATTGTAGTGTTAAGGTGATCCTCTGAGACAGCTTAGTAATAACAGTAACTAGTAGGGAACAATTTTCAGAGGCAATCTGTCCTTAGAAATTAGATGGAAAAGATAGCAAATATGCATGTGGAATGCTTTATGTGAATAAATTTGTGTCTTCGGCTCTCCCAGTGGCAGCAACTAAAAAATTCAACCCTTTTCAGTGAATACATTAAAGTCTGTAGAGACAAAATAGAAACATCCAGTTACTGATCACTGTTTGCAGAACTAATGATTTTACAGGATCTCTTACCATATATGATAATTTTTGTATTTGCATGATCTGAGAGTGCCTTGGTTGACATGATGTTGATGATGTAAATAATGGTGGGCACTGCTAAATCTATTACTGCACAGTGCTTGGGCACACAACATTTGTTAAGTGGCTTTTTCATTAGAAGATGCTACATATGTGTATGTTACAGAAAAAAGTCTAAAATGAAATGCTGCTGAATTCAAGGCATTGACTCCATTATGCTGGTGGAGCATACATTTACATTCTGATTGAATCAGTGGAATGCTAGCTGCCACACTGTGATTGCTCATTCTAATGATCATTTATTTATCAAAATTTAGAGCGCTATATGGGTGGTTTGATGAACAAACTTCACTACTCACGTTGGGCATATATTAATTTCTCCTGAGAGTCAGCAGGCCTTGCAATACTACCCATGAACCTCTTTCTATCATAAAGAAGACATATCCCACCTCTAAGCTTATAAGGAGTCAAACTTTCCATTATTCTATATGGATGAGAACTGCGCTTCTGCAGAGCATAGCCTTCTTGCTTAGAGGGGGCCATTTTCCTGGCTTAGGCAAATACCCGAAGGAATATGTATTACAAAATATACATAGCAAGAGCGTTGCAATTGCAAAAGATTGTAATTATTACCACATTGATGATTTAATTTATAGTGAACCTATATTTTGCAGATTCAGGGCAACGTAACAGGTTCAGTTAATAGTTCTACGCTAACTCCAAGGCAGCCTAGTCAGTTTACACAGGGCATATAACCCTTCCATGTGATGGGGCTTGAGTCTTGCAATTGTTTTATCAGCAACCTTATAATTGATCAAGGGAGGAAGGAAAAAAGTAACATGCTCCCCCATAATTGAAAGTACTAAATATTTCATATGGCTCTAGCGGGTGCACTAGAGTTTATATGAGTTTGGGAAAGGTAAGTATCGGTGGCAGTGAACATATTATTATCGAGTGAACTTCAATAGCCTTGAATAGATATAATTGTGCATTACTTTGGGTTTATTACTTTCAAGTGTGTATTGAAAAAGAAAAGTTGAAAAGGCTGTAGTGCCTCTTGAAAAATATCAAGCACTTTCGTCCCTGTTGATGAGCTTCTGATTTATTTGTGGTGATCAGGCCCTCCAGTCTCTTTGGTAGAAGCCTGGTATTTCTTGTAAAAGTCTCTTGTGCGTGTTTCCTGCCTCTCTATCACACTGTAAATGAATCGATGAGCCTCTTGCATTTGTGAAGAGGGACAATTCATATATCCCCTCATATATCACCTCTCTCTTGCTATCTGACATTGTCATTTTATCTCCTTTTTAGTTCTTGATTTTAACAAGTCTATCTTTTCCTCCTTAGTATGAGTTCAAAGCGAAAAACATCAAAAAGAAGAAAGTGAGCCTCTTTGTATCAGTGGATGGGGTGAGAGTGGTCCTGAAGAAGAAAAACAAGGTGACTAACATTTTGCCATAGGGTAATAGTAAATTGTCTGTCTGGGTCAGGACAACCAGTGTTTTTTGATAACAAGCTCAGGTTAATTTTTGGGTAAATATTACAGCTATAGCTGGTCTGCTGCCTGTCTATCATATTATGATTTGTTATTATCATTATTCCCTTTCTATGAGCTCTTTTATGTTCTCAACATTTATCTGTTTCTCCATCAATGGAAAGAAAAAAATCTCAATTATTTTTCTTTTTTTTTTCTTAAAAACTTTTTATGTAACTTTTTTTGCTTTGGAAACATGAAATCTAAGAGTAAATTCAGGAAATACTATTCAAAGGCTGGTCTAGATTGCAAGATTATACAGAAAAGGTCCCCTTCTTAGTCCTGTTACTGTATCTGTTTTATGTATTTCTCATTTATAGTGTTTTTATGTATCATGCTGTGCTATGTATTACTAATCGTTGTTTTACAGTGCTATGAACAATGATGGTGCTATATATCATAATAATAATAATTCAGTGGGCGTATTGACTCAAATAAGGTTTGTATGTTGGGGGACCCATATTTTCTGAATTTTCCTTGTTTTTGGTCATAAGATTTCATAGTTTAATCCAAATTATTTTTAATTAACTGTGATTGGATTCCCATGTGTGTTGCCAAGAGTTCCTTTAAAGCAATACATGTAGAGGAAATACATTCAGAGGAAATACCGGAGCTGGTGTGAACTGGCCCTCGGGGCAGGAAGTGAAGGGGATGGCACACAGATTGCAAAAAAACAGAAAGGTGTTTTCTTCTCTAACTGGAATGGAAAAAAGGGTTATGTCTGCAGTGCAAAGTGACAATATCTTTGCAAAGAGCCTCTCCAACCCAGTTATGCTCATCTCGCCAGTGCTGCCTCACTGCTCTTGCCTCGGTCACAGCTGGTGAAGATACCTGGTACTTCCTGATATGCAGGAGCATGTTGCATTCTTCTGCTGTGACAGGGCTGGGGTATAGCAGCCAAACACTAGGTCTACGCATTACCACTCTCCCTGGTCACCAACACTGGTGACTTTGGTGCCAGCTGCAACAGAGGAAGATATTGTATGCTATAAATGGAATAGCCTTTTAGATTGTAAGCCCTCACGGGCAGGGCCCTCCTTACCATCTTGTCTTGAATTGTATTGTGACTGTAATGTCTTCCTTATATTGTAAAGCGCTGTCCAAACTATTGGCGCTATATAAATCCTGTATAATAATAGTTGCATATTTTTCTCACAAAGTATTAACTATATTCTGAATGCTATAGATACTGATAGAAAATAATTGTGAACTAATGTATAGAGTAGGTATGCTAAAATAAAATCAGCTAGATCAGATAACCACTATCAAAACTGAAAAATGTTCTGCCCATTCTATTGCATCCTAACGAGATACAAAAAATTGTAGAAGTTACATCTGCAGTGCTAATTTAGTCCCCTTGTCCATTGTAAGGAGCATGAGCATTGAGAGCAGTGGTCCAATTCTCCAGTATGCCACCAACACATGGCAGCTTTTAGAGTAAAAATAATGCCATATTACAGGTATTTACTTGCTTTGTAGCAGGACTGCATAACAAGTGGAAAAAACACGAGCCTTCACTTGGGCTTTAACAATATTTGTTTTAAATGGGGGAGATATTATATACACTATTCGAGATTGTATTACCCTTTGTTTTATATTCATTCATTACCCTTGAGATTGTCAAGGATTTTTTTTTCTTTTCATTACTTTTCAATCAGTCTTTTTAAAAAAATCCTACACTATAGCGCGCTGTATACAGCATTTAGACTCTATTATCAAAGGGTGCCGTGGTAAAATGGCGGAAGGCGCAGCCACAACATAAGTCCCAATCCAAGATATCACCAGCACAACATGTTCAGATGAGAAGACGGGACACTTTGTAAATGTCAGGAAGTGATGTTTAAAGGCCTCTTAAAACCTCTTTCTCAGGCATCAGTGACGTTGTCATGCCACTTCCTGTTGGTGACAATGAAGTGACCTGTCTTCTAATCTAAACATGATGTGTTGAATTGGGACTTTAAGATGTTGCAACCCGTGCAGCTGGATTAGCTATAAGGACCTTTACTGCTGCGGTTCTTTAGTGAGCACCAGTTCAGTCAAATCATGGTCACATTGTGCCAACAATCCTGAAAATGGGCATCTCCTAAGATGATGTGCTATGCAGAAATAAATAAATAATTGTAACCTATTAGAATTTTTCTTACATAAAAGTGGCAGACGGGCAAGGAGAAGGCGGGGGGAAGAGGCAGAGCGGGAGCGAGGCCAAGTTGCTGCACCATGGGCCTCTAGGTTGTACTTGCCCCCTGGGCTAAAAGTTGCCAGTCAGCCACTGCATTGATCTGAATATGGTGAACTGATACCTTTTATAAAGGTTTCTGTACTTTGTAACTGATCGCAGTACATTTTTGTAGTGCAGATAATGTATAGTAAGGCACATGCTGGACATAAATAATACAGAATTATTGGAGTAACACCTTTACTCTTGTTACAGAAAAAAGAGTGGGCCTGGGACGAGAGCAAGATGCTGGTCATGCAGGATCCCATCTACAGGTTAGTGTCTGATATATGTACCTATCACCACTGTTTCCTTGGTAAACTTACAACAGATACAGTAACCGGGAACCTCCAGGCGTTTGCTCATAGTGCCATCTATTTTCTAAAGTACCTGGAGAATCCTGAAGCCCTGGGCACTCTCATGCAAATACCAACTTTAACTTTGCATTTGGTTCTGGCCCTCCCCTACTTCCCATGCCTTGCCGTTGGTCCATTAATGTCATGAGAGACCACTCTTATGAAAAGTGAGATAGAAAAGAGAGCCCGCTATGGTATTAACCGCCTGGATAAAGTTGGTAGTTGCATAAAAAAAGAGAGCCTTTACAGTGTGCAGACATTTGCTAATACCTGCTAATACATTCTGGTGCCAATTTACTAAGGTATTGTTGCTTTAAACTTAGAGGAAAAAAGAAATATGATTAGTAGGAGATTTAAATAAAGTCTGCAGTTAATGGAATTTACAAATAATGCTTTAATATCTTCTACAGCCCTCCAGTCTTGGGCTGTAGCATTTCTCATGTACTGAGATAATTTCTGACTTGCCAACAGTAGACACAAAGGTAATATTATATATAAATTACGTCGGACTCCCTTATGGAATTCGGTGGTGGCTGTAGCACATCTGAAATACTGAAACATTTTACAAATTTGGTGGGACTGAGAAGCCCCTTTTCCATATAGCAATATTACATCCTATATACCTTATATGTGTATCATTTAGCTGTAGATTCTCAAATCATCTCTGAATTGGTGCTGACACTGTCCTTCCTTCTGGAGGGGGGTTACTTTTGTTCCCCATGGTCTCTGTTTGTGTTGGGCAGGGTCCTCCTTGCCTACTGTTTCTGCATGTCAATTATGCTTCTCAGTGTTTCTTACTTGTCTTGTCTAAACGAATGTACAGCGCTGTGGAATATGTTGGCGCTATATGAATAATTGTAATCGTTGTAAAGTAGCAACCTCTGCAAGCTTGCACCCGTGATAGACTACAATCTAAATAGAACTTAGTATGAGATTGTAGTCCATCAGTTGGAGTGCTGACTACTTTACAACCCACACAGAGACCACAGGGAACAAAAGTAGCCACCCTCCAGAAGGAAGGACAGTGTCGGTACCAATTCAGGGGATCTACAGCTGAGTAATGCACAAATCAAGTACAGTATTGTTAATAGGGTACTTAAATGCATTTTTTCAAATGTAACTCCTCAGTGTCACTTTAAGAAGCCCATTTGTTTTGATTTGGGTTTGACCCACAACGTAATGATTTTAGCTGCTGCGCTTCACCAAAGTTCAGATATAATGCTATTTGAACTAAGAAGTTATTAAAATAATAATACTGTGTACAGTAGACTGAGTGTTATTTGATATGTTGATTTTTAGAGGATTCGTTTGTACAGTTATTACATTTTGCAGAATAATCCATTAATCTGTTTATTAATATAATATTTTCCATTCCATTCTCTCTTTAAAAAAAAAAGAATATTCTATGTGTCTCACGACTCTCAGGATCTTAAGATCTTCAGCTACATTGCTAGAGATGGGACCAGCAACGTTTTTCGCTGCAATGTCTTTAAATCCAAGAAAAAGGTACGTCAACAAAAGTTAATTTTTTTATGTTGTATTTAGTGGCATTATGTGCACACTGCGATTTTCTATAAAACATTTCCTAGGTAATATTGTAGATGAATGTCCACACTGGTGGAGAGGTAACTACACTGAGTGGCCAGATTATTATGACCACCTGACGTTTGTAGGCAAATTAGCTATAATTTGGCTCTGAAGTTGCTAGAGGGCCAGACCATTATAAATAGGGAAGCAGGTTGTTTACCACGACAGTAGAAGTGATTTTTTTCTGAAGATATGGGTAAACAACGCGATTTAACAGCCTTTGAACGTGGGATGATTGTTGGCGCTGTGAGCCATGGAGCGAGTATCAGCAAAACGGCAGAATTCGTTAAATGTTCAAGAGCAGCTGTTGTTAGAGTGTTTAAAGACTGGACTGCCGCTTTCCCGCTGGGAACACCTTTGCCTTCTTTATCTCGTGGAGTCACGAGGCGGCCCAACAAAGTACTAATGGGGTGGTCATAATAATCTGGTCACTCAGTGTATATATCAAATTGGTGAATCTACAAGCAAAAAGTTTGAGCACAACAAAAAATAAAAGTTTTGCTGAAATTTTCCAAAACATATGGAGACTAGCTAAATCTACATTTACATGGGTTGTGCAAGATCTGCTAAAGTAGTGGGTAAGAATTGAAAGCTCTGTCAGTTAATGACTATTGTTGTCTGTGACCCTAGTGGGGAGATTTCCCCCACTTTTTGTCCCGGTGACACAACATGTAGGAAATCTTATCAGGTACCCTAGTAGGACGAAAACCAAATAGAGATTCTAACCCTTCCCCGCTCTACCAGTGCATTTACTTGATATTGTTATCCATATCTTTGGTACAATGACCTCCAATGGGCATGTCACAGGGTAGACCACAGTGTTGTGCAAAGAGCAGTAACCCATATCGAAAGATTCCACCCTCCAGCAACAGAGGCGTATCTCCCGCAAGGCAAACAAGGTGTTTGCCATGGGCGGCAGATTTCAGGGGGGCCACAAAAATGTCGCCCCCAAAACAGTTAGGCAGTCGGGTGGAGGAGGCGGCAGCGTTAAAGGACGGAGTCCGCAAGGAGGCAGAGGAGGTGGCAGTGGAGAAGGTGGAAAAGGCAGAGGAGACGGAGAGAGCAGCAGGAGGGGGCGAGGTGAAGAAGCAGGAGGGGGCAGGGTGAGGCCGGGACGACATCGGAT